GTGGACATCCTTGCCTAGTTCTTGTTATTAAAAGGAATGCCTTTAATGTCTTTCCATTGAGAACAATGCTGGCTCTCGGGTTTGCATAAATACTTTTTACTATGTTGAAGAAATTCCCCTCTAATCCTATTTTGTTGAGTCTTTTAATCAGGAAAGGGTGTTGGATTTTGTCAAAGGCCTTTTCTTCATCAATTGATAGGATCATGTGGTTCTAGTTCTTTGCTTTGTTAATGTCATGAAATATAGTAATTGCTTTTCTTACGTTGAATCAGCCTTGCATACTTGTTATGAATCCCAGTTGGTCATGGTGAATTATTTCTTTGATATATCATTGGATTCTGTTGGCCAGTATTTTCTTCAGGACTTTTGCATCTATATTCATAAGAGATATTGGCCTGTACTTTTCTATTTTGGTGGTGTCATTTCCTGGCTTTGGTATCAAGGATATGTTTGCTTCATAGAATGAGGCTGGTGCAATTACTAAAAGTTGCAAATAGAGATACCATTTGACCCAGCAATGCCACTACTGGGAATAGACCCCAAAGAGACCATAACTGCTACCCAAGCAGATATATGCACACCCATGTTTATCGCAGCTTTGTTCACAATAGCAAGGAGTTGGAAACAACCTATGTGCCCATCAACAAACGACTGGATAGAGAAGCTGTGGTATGTTCACACAATGGAGTACTATGCTGCATTAAAAACAAAGGAACTCATGCAATATTATTCAAAATGGGTGATCCTGGAAGACATTTTGCTGAGTGAAATATCTCAGTCACAAAAGGACAGATACTGCATAGTGCCACTGTTATAAAACAAGACTGACGTTGGGGTTGGGGAGAGACTGAGAAAGTTGGGATGAATAATGTTTACTGTATTGAAACACATGAAGGAGAAAACTATTTAAAAAGGATATGTCATTAGGTGTTATTGTAGTGAGAGAAGTCCAGAATAAAGGTTGCATGGCGGAGTGGACTTGGAGGGAGGGATTGTAAAACAATTAAATAATTTTTCTTTTACTTTTCAAAGAGAAGAGTGTACTGAGAGGGAGAAATGGGCAGGGAGAAAAGTGCAACAATGAATGAATGGATATCCAAAGTCTCTATAAATGTTCATTAAAATTA